CTTTCTTCTCGCTAGAAAATGGTTCAGTGTTATCGGTCTCTCTTTCCATTATTGCCCCATTTCTCTACTTCTAACATATTTTTCATTAGCATGCCGTAATTCATGTTGAAATTCAGTGTGCTCACCCATATTTTAACTTTTTGGTCCATTCTTGCATGAGCTTTGGCTTTACTCACACACAGACAGCAGGGTAGCTATAACAGGTCTTACTGAGTATTCGTGGGTTTTATCATTATTATCTTTTGACTAGAGAAAAGAAAAAATAAAAAGGGGAGATGAAAGCACTCCCCTGTGCACACCCCCACAGGTTCCCAACCGGAACGGAGTAACAGTGACGTAATGCCAGTCATTTTGTGCATCACAGGGCCCATGGCAGAGTGAGGCATCTCCGTCAGCCCCAGCCATTTTTCCCTGCCGGCTGCCCACAGCCTCAGCACCAGCAGGGCAGGACCTCCCCTCCAGTCCTGTCCCATCTCCACGAGCTGAGAAACCCTGGTGTTGGCCCTCTGCTTAAATTTCCAAAAGTTAATTTGCTATTTTCCAACTCTTAAAACACATTTTGACCTGCCTGTGTTTCTGTAAATATCCTCTTTGCTTGTCACAGCTATTTCCATGATAAAATGACCACTCACATGGTGTCAAATAATTGGCAGGAACAAAAGAGAAAAATAATCAAGACCAGTGTGTTTTCCTGTTTTCTTGACTCTAGACGTTGCTCATTGAAGATGCAGGTCTGCTGAAAAACAATACTAGCTAAAAAGAAAACAGGTTCCCTTACTCTCAGACTAGCATTAAAAAACAATTAATCTCTCAAAACAAATTGATTCAAAGTTCTCAGAAAAAGGAATGTGTTTAAAGATTAATGGGAAGACACATGTTTTTGTAATGGATAGTGTATTTTTAGGTAGTATAAATTTTATGAGAGTCATGAAGTTTTATGAATTTTAACGAATATCCTTCTCAGAAGAACCTGAATCTTATTGTTACCTGGGAAAAGGTCACCAGATCTGTTCCTAAATGAGAGGAATTTGCAAATGGGAGATTGCATAGGTTTGGGAAGAAAGTTTAAAATAAATCCCTACATGCACTTTGGCGTCTGCACTGAGGGGAGTGCACAGGCGATATAGCAAAACCAGTTGCCTGAATTCAGAATTCTTTTGGTTTTTCTGTGTCCAAAACCTAGCAAACCTCTGTGCCATGCAGGATTTATCTTCTGTCACAGGAATTTGACTCCCTTTCTTGAGACAAAGATATGACCTGCTCACTATTCTCATAAGCTGCAAGTTGCTGCATGTCAGACTCCTAGCCGAACTCCAGAAAAAACGTCCCTGAAATCGCTGCGTGTCCGTGTCCTAGGTGCTGGCTGGCACCCAACCCGTAGGTGTGCCTCCACTGAGCTCAAAATACAGTACACCAGTCACCTTGAGGTGCCTGCTGAATTTCATTCCAGCTATAGCTAGGGACGCAAACCATGTTATAATTACTGGTTCAAACCCCGTTACGTTTATGGATCAAGCTTGCAGTATGATCCTGTGAAATGACACAAGATCTGTTTCAGCAGAAACTGGGAAGCAATGATTTTTACCAATTTTTTTCCTGTTAACTTTAAACTGTTGACATGGTGCTAAATTCGGTACGCCGAAGGTGTTTCCATGTGTCACTTCTAATAGGATACAGGTGTCAGACAATTTGAGATTATTTCAAACCTAATTTTCCTAGAGTGAAGATACAAACAGTTACACCAGAAGCAGATGTTGGGCCTTTCTCACCCCTCCGAAATGTGGTTTGGCATCCATCCAGACTGAGTCTATGGGGAAAAAGAGAAAATTATATTTAATTTTAGCTTGCTTGGTTTCCTCCTTTCAAAATCTACGTGAATGTGCACTAAAAAAAAACCCCATCCCTTTTCCCTCTGCTTACACAGGGACTAAGTATCTTGTTGCAAACAGATGGAGTACAGGCAGGTTGGGATGTGAATGCTTTTCCATCTCCACACTATCACTATGTGGCCCAAAATCTGGCATAAAATGCTAGCTTTTCCTTTTTTGCCCTCTTACCCCTGTCTCTGTCAGTTACTTTTCTAGTGCGTTGGTTGGAAGTAACAGCTGGGAAGCAGAGGTGGGAAGGACTGCACCTAAACCACCAGTTCGGGGTCCTGCCTCTGGTCCAGCTCCATAGACCTACCCGGGGGTGGTCACTGGGACTCAAGAGAGAAGCCCTAAGAGCATCTCCTTCCCTCTGCCGTCAAGCCACTACGATTTTCCCTAGCTGCTCTTATTTTTTGAAGCAATGGTCCTTTTCCACCTTGTGTTGTCTGTGCAGTTTTATATATGACTGGAAATAAAATCTCAGCTATACGGCATGGATACAAAAACTAGATCACTTGCTGGCACTGGGCTTTCCTGAGGATGGTACGTGTTCTCCAAGCAAGAGCAGCTTCACTGAGTTTAGTTACACTTCATCAGAACTCATGCAGGTGACAGAAAAATTGAGCTCATAATCCTGGTATTACAACCTTGTAGAAAAGAAGATCCGGTTCTGAGGTTCACCGTGTGAATTTTGGTTTCTGCTGCTCAAATACATCTTTCTTCACCTGCTTCTAGTAAATGAATCTTACGACTATAAAACCCACTTGTGCTACAATTGTATTTAAAGTCAAATTACCATAAAATGCTACAGTTGAGCAGTTTTGGTCCAAATAACCACACGTGAAAAAAAATCCTTAAGGATTTCATAAAATGTATTGTGCAGGTGGTGATCCATTTTTTTTTAAATCAGTATTTGTTGGTCACGCAAATGCTACTGAAAAGTTGCCATCATAACGGACAACAAATCCTTTAAGAGCTAAGAGCCATAAATGTATACTGGGAAGTGAAGGAGCGGCATATTTATATCATCCAGCCCTACACGCCAGAGGAAGAAGGGCACGAAGTCCTTCTACAGACTGGTAAATACACAAGGGAAGAATCGGCAGATGGTGGACGGGAGGTATTAATGCCACTGCCCGTCTGCGCGGTGTCGGTGCAGATTGCACCGGGAAGGTTCTCGAGTCAGCTCCCCGCCGAGGCCACCAACAGAGGTGGGTGAATACGATCAATAGAAAGCATCAAGTGCTGGCTGGCGAATCAAAGGCAAAACTATGGAAACGCCACTCTGCAAATGGGGTTTTAACTGCGCTGCCAGGAAGTTATCTAGAGGCATTTGAAGACCAACCCAGCAACAGGAAATTAATCAAAAGCATTTTTGAGCGGATCCTCGGCCGGTGAGTGCTGCTGTGGCTATTTATACTGCTGAACTACGGCAATTTACCCCATTAAGGATGTGCTCAGATGTCAGATATTAGCCACTGCCAGAACAAGTGACCTTTCTGCACAGTACGTTAAGAAGAGAACAAAAAGATGGAAATTCCCATTTTCCAAGCGTGGTCCAAATAAACCTCTGTGCTCTTGTTAAACCAGCTGCGTTGAAGAGGCGTGATTATAACAAGCCTTTTTTTTTTTTAGCCTGCACCTGTCTCTCCTTCCGCAGCTGAGGACACGCTGGAATCGACTTCCCTATAGACCTGGTCCTGTAAGAGCTTCAGGTGGAAATTAAATTCATCATTATCTACATCTATTTTTACTTAACCACTTGAGGGGGAAAAACCACCTGAAGGCCAGCGCTTACTGGAACATGCAGTAGCTGGTCACCCGCAGTGAAGAAAAGCTCCCCCATTTCTCCATTCCCAAATAGATGAGATTTTTGTTAAGTGTTCATTCTTACAGCCCTCAAGGTCTTGCAAAGGAGAGAAGATCAGCTTTGAGCAGCCTTGCGTGGCCGTTAGCTGCAGTCAGTCTCTTGAGAAGGTGACAGCTTCACTCCCACCTAGGCGGAAAGGTTCCCTCTCGCTTTAGGCGCAGCCACACGGATCGAGGCAGTAACTCCATTTTATCAAGGAATATACAGGGAAGAAGTGTGCCAAACTACTGCGAAAAACACGTAAGTGTGATTTTGCTGGGGACTTGAAGACTTTCCTAGAGCAAAACTGGGTTCAGCACTGTCCCTAGAGAATGGCAGACTGCAGAACTGTCATTTTTCCTCCTAGAGTATCCCTTTATTGTAAAAATGTTTAAAGTCCACAGAGTGCCATGAAATATTCCACTTGCTCATTCCATGTAAACAAGCAGTGGCATTTCTAAAGTGTGAGCGTCATTTAAAGTATCTCCCCTCTTTCATAGGAATAACTTTTTTTATACTTGATTATTTTGCTCAGGTAATTCTTACACATTGATCTCATCTGCCTTCGGACCTGAAGTTTCTCCATATTCCCTCAGTTGCTATTCCCCTATGAACATGCATAGTGCCAGCAGTTTGATTTCTGGCACAGTGATACAGGGAAACTAATGGCTTCAAAATCGGCATTATTGGCATTCTTTTTGATGCAAATTTATTGGATTTTTCTGCCTTTAGAATGTGATGCCTGAAAACTGACTGGCACTATATGAGCAAATTATTCTTTTTACAGTAAGTCAGACATCCCACATAATCTATATTTCTGGGGAAGAAAAAAAATCGAAGTAGAACTTGAATTGTTTTGTGACAAGGTGCTGTATATAACTGAGGCAAGACAGTATGATACTGAAAATTACTAGCCAAAAACATGCGTAACACTAAAACATGTCAAAACAGGGTAAGAATAATGAATTATTGTCAAACAAAATGCTGCTTCGTGCTGACCCAAAATCTCACACTAGGTTTTATCATATGGCAGTACGAGGTTCTAAAAAGAATTTTCCAGGGGAGTTGTAGCTATTTCTATTGTAGATGAATTCTACTCTTGTCACTACCTACTTGAAATAAGGCTAAAATCAGATTTTTCAGAATAATATTTTTCATGCAAACAATGCAAATGCATTTAATGCAAACAATATCCCCAAAAATGTCTTGCCACAGAATAAAAACCAAGCTAAACAAGAAATTTGGAGAACTGTCTTAAATGTTCTAACAGATAAGTTTTAGAAAGATGCCAGATTTAGTGAGGATTTTTTTGCCTCCTAAAACTAGTTACAAATGTATTTATCTTCTGTAACAGTAAGGCACTCATTGTAAGATATTTTTTTTTTTAGTTTTAAGGCAGTACTGGAACTTTGTGTAGTTTGATTCTCTGTCATCTGGGTTTTGAGCAGAATTACATCCACAAGTGCAGCCGTTCAGGATTATGATTGCATGGTAGAAAATGACTACTTTTGGCATACTAATCAGCCAGCGAAGAGAGTCCATAAAAACTAGGGATATGAACCAGAAAATGTTATTCATTAATTTTGTTTATGGTTATTTAATTTTAATTATAATACTTTAAAGCTATTTAAATCTACAACTCCATCATATGTAAGTTAATGTAGCATATTTTGCAAAAATAATCAAGGCCTGGTAATACAGATCACTACAGAGCCTGTAATTAAATCTCTGATGAGATTTTCAAAGTGGTTTTTAAATGTGCACGCGGCTTATAAAAAGTGCTTTACAAAAGCTCGCCTTCTGTCATCATGACTTCACAAACGTTTCTCTGGCGTTGTCCAAGTTTAATTTTCATTCAAATTCAAAATGGAAATTTTTGTAATTGAGTAATTGCTTTGCAAACAAATACTCTCTGTGGGTAGGAAAAACAATTACTTTTCACACCTGTTTTCCTGTGTAAGTGATAATAAGGAATATTTTTCTGCGGACCATAAAGGCCTTTAATACTATTAATGTCATTATGCCTTGCAAATAGGGCGCTGGTGATACCCATTTCGGGTGTGTTCTTCTCTGAAGAGATGATCCAGGGTGTGATCTTACAGCTGTAATTTTGGCACCGTCACAACGGTTGAAGAGAAGTTCCCCCTGCCACTGACAACAGAATAAATCTCACTGCTGTGTGCACCTTGGGGAAGGCTTTCATGAGCTGGAGGACGGTTTCTCTGCCATTTGCTGGTTTTTATGCTGTGGGAACCAGCGCGCACCATTTATCCCTTGCTCTCGTCACCGGTTTTGTTCACATCCGTGCCTTCTCAAGCGGCGCTCGAAAAGCGGCACCCTTGCAGGGGTCCGTCAGGAACACTGCCATCTTACCTATGTCAGCAAGCCCTCCGGCCCACCTGCGCCTCTGACAGCAGAAAAATGGGGTGGAAGGGTTTGTTTTTTGTTTTTTTTTTCCTCTGGAATAATTTCCTTGTAATTGAATTACATGTTTAAGACAGGCTTTCACTGCCTCATGTTACAACATAGGAGCTCGCAGGTTTCCAGCGATAAGCAGGCTGGCTGTAGGCAATTAGAAAACCTCAGGGTTTTAAGAGTCTAGTCACTAAAATATGTTACAGCTCAAGTCATTGTTTAACAATCCGAGTCTCTTACAGCTGTGAAACACTCCCATCATCAAGTAGGTCTCTGGGACTCCCTCAGGAACGGCAGGCTCTAGATATCCAGCTGCTAGGAACAAAAATAAATCTCTTTGAAGACTTATTTACCATAACATTGTGCGAGGACTTAGAAAGGCTGAAATATTTTAATCATTAATCTCCATTCATCAAATCTTGTCATTCTTAACAAAACTCCAAAATAGTTTCAGCTGTGAGTTGAATGTCGATGACACCAAACTCTGTACATAGATATCAATTTTGTGGTTAAGATATGCCACACGCAAGACATGCCTGTTGCAATCGAAACAATTCCTGCCTGTGCAGAGACACTAGAGAGTATTTCATAACTCGTGATTATTTATGCTCCTAGCTGTCGTGGAGGGATAACAGCAGAACTTTAATAGCTATTGATCACAAACCTCTATTAACCAGTATTATAATCTTTTTCGTTAATGGTCAAACGGCCTATGATGCTGACACAGTGTTTGTTGTCATTACTATGGTATAATACTAGCAGCAGTAATCACTGCTATTAGAAGTGATCACCTCATAGAAATAATCATCGCAGAAGCTTGGTTGAAAAAGTATCTTAATGCCTGATCAAAACCTCAACAGAACCTGTAGGTCTTTATTTCAGTGGGGTGCGAAGAAAATCCCATTCTTCTTCTCTCTTTTCCGAGCCACTTGTTTTAAAGTAGTAACTGTTTGTATTTTTGTCTCAAGATTTTTAATTTTTATTGCTGATCTAAAAAGAAAGGAAATAAAAAACAAAGTCAAGGAAAATCTGGCTGTAGTTAAAACATTCCTTGACCTCGTCCTTGCTAGTACTTACAAACATTAGATAAATTAATAGCAAACGTGTTGCACAACTTAGAGGTGAGTTCTTAATGACTTAAAGACTTCTAGGCTGGCAAATATTTCCAAACAAAGGGACCCCAACATACTTCTTTAGACTGGTTTTCCTCGTAGTGTTCCTTCTTTTTTATAAGCAATGTTTTGCTTCTCCCAGCCTTCCACCCTTCTTTCTTGAGCAACCCAGAGACCGTTAATGCTACGTGTGTGATGTTGCACTAGGCTGTGATGCGCGGTCAGCAGAAGAAAAGGTTACTGCACGTGGGAAAACACGCTCGGTCTCTATATGCACAAATATCTGAAGTGTGCACTTCAAAGGAAGAGCAGTTTATTGCTGGCCGCGTGCATGGCTGTTGCACGAACGTCCTAATGATTCTTTGCTCTTCGAGGAGACAAACTCCTCCAGGCGTCACGAAACCTTTGCATCAGCACTTCTTAATATCCTCTGTCAGAGGGACAAAAAGCCCTGCAATCATTTAGGGAGAAAAACCTTATCCCACTTCAGAGACAAGATAACTTTCAGGGGTGCAGAGGTTAGATTGTCTTCCCAAATGAATACAGCATGGGAATGAGGAATAAAAAGTCCTAGCCCAAGAGTTGTTTTCAAGGGCTTTTATTTTCTTTTGAAGCACGAGCCAAAGGCCGTTGCAGGCTCCTGTGGAAATGTTCACATTAACATCAGTATTTAATTTTTCTGGGTTTTGGATCTGTTTGAAGAAGGACAGAGAATAATGTTAAAATTGCTATAAACCGTTAAAAACATTTCAACCTGCTCTTGACATTTTTTTTTTTTTTTTTTTAATTTTTTAAGCTATGTGGTTTTGACTATGGTTTGTTTATGCCCATTGCTACAAGTAGGGATGAGAGCCCGGGCAGTGCTTATGCAGAGCGACGAGGAGACTCCTGCAGTAGCCCTGACGACCTCACCTTCTTTCTTAGTGCAGTCTTCCACCAAGTTTTCTGTAGCTTCTCATTTTTTATTTAACTATTCCCTTCCAGAGAAGATTTTTCCTGTATAGTTATTTCCAAGAGCTTTCTGTCTGATTTATTTTCTATTTTCAGTACTCAATGAAGCAGAAAAACAATGTTAGTCTGTGGTGGCCAGGGAAAATAACAAAAGTTCGCGAAGGTGGTCTCCAGATGATACAGCCCTCGCCGAAGCAATCGCAGCGTTCTGCCTTTCCCCGGATTAGGGAGCAAATCTGCGACAGCAGCAGCAGCGCTGGCAAGTGCAGGTAAGCTGCCGTCACTGAACGTGCTAAGAAATCACCAGCACAAACACGTTCCAGCTTTGGCAGTATTCAAATAATGGCTATTACTGTTTCAGGGAGGAAATAATTAAAGCCATTTCTTGACTCTGACAGTTTGATACTGGTGGTTTTCAATAGCAAATTACCAACATCTGTACAGCAAAATTCAGCTACTGCAGCAATTATTCAGCAGGGCTAACCACAGAGGTGCTAGGACTTTTCATTTTCTAGATGTCCCCTAGTTAGATGTGACCTACAATTGAGACCTAAACTACACACAATGGCAAACTAGCTCTCTTGCATTAGGAATGTAAATGAAACCATATGGAAAGCTTAATATTCTGTGAAAAACCCAGTGGCAAATGCATCAAAGACAGAAAATGAAAGACTGGAAAGACATCTGAATGGGTTTCTTAATTACGTAACAATTTCAAGTTTCCAGAGCAATTCAGAAGTAAAATTTATACAGTTTATTCAATTCCACAAAAATGATGGCTTT